GCTAAATTTGCATATATCCATTACGAGTAATTACATTCATTTTCTGTCTCTCCCATCCCTGTCGAACCTTGGTTACATAATTGTCAATACAGGGTATCAATAGAATCATTTTCAGGAGGAACACAAGAGCTGGCAAGAGTAAGCAATAAAAATTATTTGAAATAACAACTATTCTTGGAAACTGGATCCACATGGGGATGGACATGATAAGTACATGACCCACAACTAGCAACAAGGTTAAATGACCAAGTCTAGACTGAAAGAAACGCCATTCCTGCCAGTTTAAAATCTCCCCAACAGACGGCAGAGATGTGAGACCAACAAGGCTCATAAGCATCAGGGCCAGAACACCAACACTAATTGTTGATTCCCCAATCCAGTTCATTCGGGAGGAGACATGGAAGGAAAAACCAGTGATGTTGTCTGGCAAGTGGATTTTAGTTGTTTGATACCATTCTGGCATGGTGGCTGGTGAGAGATAGATGGCACTGATTAATACATGCCAACAACTGAAAAATAAGGAATACAAACCAAGCATTTTACGAGATTTCATCCAGCGGTCAATCCATTTAGGAAAGCGTTTATACTTGGTTCCATAACATATTTGAAGAATAGCTGCAAAGCAGCTAGGAAGATAAGACAGAGCAAGCAAAGTTATAGCTGTTAAACAGATTGGCTTGTTCAATCCCCCCAGTGGAAGGCCACTGTATGGAGTCTTAAATTGTGGGTGGGTGCCAAAGAATATACCAAACTCCACAGCACAAGCAGCAAACCAAAAAAGGAATACACCTAGTGAAAATAATGTTGGACTGCCCCACCCAGACATAAGAGTCAATTGGTATGTTTCCAGTTTCCGTGAATTCCGAAGACCCCCTATATTGACTGGAGTAAAACCCATATCACTAGAAAGATCTGAAATTGCCGTATGTGCCAATGAGCTGTCAGATGCAATCAAAACACGTCGACTTCCACCAAATATATCACTTTCAATAGCATATGCTGACAATGTATTAAATGCTTTCACAACATGACATTCTGGGAACATATTGGCAAGATTTTCAGCATTGGACTCTTTATTGCTAGGGACGTCTCGGTTTGAAACATCAACAATGATTTTGCCTTTGACAAAATCTTCATAGTGTTTGATAACTGAGGCACAGTGTAAATAGTTCATGGCAAGAATGAAAATTTTAATTTTGGGGTTAGTGAGACACTCTTCATGTGTAACTATCTTGGCCTCAGCAAAGATCTCATCAATTGTTTTCAGGTCTCGTTCATGGGGAAAACGGCTGCCCAGGAAAACTTCATAACCAGAGAGAATGAGTCGCTTCGTGATGGCACGAGCAAAGTCTCCTGTCCCAAGAACACCAATGGTTTCCTGATTAGAGTAGTTTCTTTGGTTTGATCCATTATCCACCTGGAAAACAAACAAAAATTCAGAGTACAAAATTTGTACTTCATTAAAAGAGTACAAAAATAAAAACAAAATAACTTTATATGAAGAATATATTACTATAATAATTTATAATATAGAAATATCTTTGCAAGTAATTCATAATTCTTTAAAAAAAAGAGATAGAATTTGGAAGAGATTGTATAAAAGGTTTTGTAAATTTTCAAATGTAATTATTTTTTAAATTTAGTGAATTTCTAACAAGGATCATTAATATATTAAATGTGTGTCAGTAATATCAAATACTTGAAAGCTCGAGGGTATTTCTCATAAAATATAAAGTATAATTACTGGAGTATTTATTTATTAGAAAGAAATGCTAAGATTTTTGTACATTTTTAAAAAATAATTTATATATTTTTTTTTATTATTATATTTTTAATATAATTTTTTTAAATATTTCAAAATCCAGTTTTCAAAGTAATTCAGTTACATTGAACTGGTAGGAACATTAGACTTGCATCTTAGTAAAAGAAAAAATGCTTTACAAAACAAAAATAAAAGAAAAAAATAAACTTCTTTCTATTTCATCTACACATTAAGAAATGCAAAATAGAAATATTAAAAATGAAAACCAATTTTATTAGTTCTCAGTTTTCAGTTATTTTAATTTTGATTGATTCTTGTTCTTCTTTTGTGTGCGATGTCCCATCAGTATGTGGGCTACATAGCCCTCCACAACTTCCTATCCTTTGTAGCTCTTAGCACAGTCTTTTTACAATCACTCCCACTCTCTGTTCTGCTAATCCATTGACACAAACTTTTTAGGTAGGTTACTCAGTTTCCCTCCACCTTTCTTGTCTTCAATATGCTCTGTGAATGTCAAATTCTCCAAGCCCCTTTTCCTCATTATGTCTTCCAGAAGTTTAAACATCTCTGTTGCATCAATTCTTCTCTTCCATCTGTGAGGAAATTGTCTAGTCTTCAATGCCATATAGAAGAAATGATGTTACACAGCAATTCTGCACTCTTTTCTTTGTTTCTAACAAAATTTTCCTGTTTCTTAATGTTTTGTTTAACTTTTGGAAAGTATATTTTGCTATTCCAATTTGCTTTTGGATTTTGGTGTCACATTTTCTGTTGTCTGTTAAAACACTACCCAGAAACTTAAATTTCTCTACTTGTTTGATTTTGACATCTCCAATTTGTAGTTTGGAGCTTGGGCTGTTCTTCTTGCTGACAACCATACATTCTGTCTTCTTACAATTCCGTTATTCATGCTTTCCTTTACTGTCTTGTCTAGGAGATTCTACAGTTTTCTTTTTGTGCCAGTCATCTACATGATTTCATCTATTTGAAATTGTTAAGATTGTTCCCACCAATAAATCCTGGTAGAACTTTTCCTTCTCTTAGGATCACCTTGTTGTAAAAGTTAAATAAATCTGGTAAGTATATGCATCTTTGTCTTACACCCTTTTCTATTTTTTTATACTTGCTCAATTAATTTTCTTTTCCTATGCAGATAGTTTGCTCCCAGTAAATATTCTGGATTATTTTAATATATTTTCCAAATAAAATAAGTTTTCCTAGCAGTTGAAATAGATGTTTGTGTCATAACTTATCAAATGCTTTTGCTTAGTTAATAAAGCATAGGTATAAGTCCTTCTGAATTTGTATTGCTCATTCTAATATCATTTTCAGCATAAATATTGTATTTCTTGATCCAATGTCTTTAATAGACTCACAGTTTTTGTCTTATTTCTGGTCTAATTCTGCTTCATGCCTTATTCATCAGGATTCAGATAGTATGCTTAGTTATGTGGTTCATTAAGCTGATTGTCCAATGGAGCTTGCATTGACTTGCATCAGGCTTCTTAGGCAGCATTACAAAGATGGAACTGCTAAGGTCTTCCAGTATGGTGTCACTGCCATATATTTAATTTATTATTTCTATAACATCTCTACCACCCTATCTAGTCCTGTTCATCTTGGCCATTTCCAATCTTAACTCAGACTTTAATATTTCAGGTACTTCTATGTTTTTATGTATTGCAGGTTTCCCAATTATCAATTCCATCTTTCAAGTATGTTTGCTTTCTCTCTATTATGAGTGTTCCCACTTTGGATTTTATGCATCCTGTCAAGGAGCACATCTTTCTATCTTTTTGCCTGCCTAAATTTGTCTGGTTGATTACTAAATAGAAAAGTTATTGAATTCAAGTGTTATGAAGAAATGCTCATCTATACAAAAGTCTGTACATATTAATCAAATTCCACACATTAGAAAGGCTACAATATTCAAACCCTGAAAAGAAGATAAATATTGTCAATTCATCACCAAAAATTTACAGAAATACAACTGAATAATTTTAAAACTATTCACCCCCTAATACTATTCTGAAAATGAAAACTAAACTGAAAATATATTGATGTAATTTTAGTGTTAGTTTTCTGTTGCTTCAAGTAAAAATAAATGTTGCTTAAAATCTCTTTATTTTTCAAATAATAGAGATGTCAGAAATGGTTTGTCCAAAATCTCTTCTTGCCAAATAGAAGCTTTGAACTGTGGGTGGGAATCAAAGAATTTACCAAACTCCATGATATAGTTGAAAACTAAAAGAATACTTATTTGATGGCATATAAGACCTACATTTCTTAATATTAAAATTTTATAAATTTATAATAAATGCATAAAAATGATTTTTCTGGGTTGGTTGAAATAATGGATGTAGTCATAGTAACATTCAATGCATCATCTAACAATTCTCTTTCTTAATATTCCTTGCTGAAGTCTGTGTGTATGACAGGATCTTATATACCTTTAAATATGCTGGTCTAATTAAAACACTGTTAGACGGCACCATGAGTCAACAGTTAAATCTTTTTCTTTCTTTCATGCAAAGTACATTAACATAGATAATTATATGTTATAAGAATAGGATAATTATTCTTTATTGTTTTTCTTTACTGCTTCAACTTTTTCAGCTCTTGCCAATCACCTGCTCAACTGAACATCTGTCGCATTGAAATCTATGTCAACCACTTTGGGCACCTGTGGGTATGGTTTAATTGCAAAACAGAGTATAAATAGCTGAGAGATCCATGATAACAAGTTGGTGAGGTTTGATACCAAAGTTAAAAGAAATACTATACTTGATCACATATAAGACACCCCTTTTAAAATATTTCCTAGATCTTATATGAATAGTTGAAGCATCTAGTAGGCTAATATTTACTCAGGAGGCATGGATAGTGTAACTTATCAGCATAGGAAGTGAATTTGGCATACTGAGATGAATTCCCACTTCCCAATTCTCTTTTGTTAATTTCATGCTAAAGTCTTTGAAAAAAAGCATGAATCTATCTTCCTCTAGCTATGGGTTAAATAGCAGTACAGACTGGGCTTTCTTGTCTTTAGGTGGCAACCAGTCTGTAAGAAGGAAAGTTCTGAAGTCAAAACCAGCTTGGAAAGGGATGCACTGAAACAAGGCTCTCTTGCCCAACATACACCACTGTTGCTTTGGCTACAGTACATGTGATGTCCTTATAATGGGTTATGTGATTTGTGACATGATATGATGAATGTTTACACAAACACCATATAGGCTTATGGCCATATCACCTTGAAACACCAGTTCACGTATGATCACCAAAGTTAAACAATGTCAAGCCTGGTCAGTACATAGATGGATTACTGCTTTGGAATAACAAGTGCTGTAATCTTAGATGTATGGGTGGTTTAATGGATAATTGTGCAGAATTGTTAATCAGAAAGCTGAGTTCCAATTCAAGTTTGGGTTCGGTTCATTATATTCACTTACATGCAAATACTTTAAGAAAGGCATGAATCCACCTCTTCTCTCCCCAATTATGGGTTAATTAGTAAAACTTATATCTTTCTTTCTATGTGCCTTGTCCTTTCAGGATGTAGGTGATCATGGCTCTCCACCTCCCTCTATCTTTTGCAGCTCTCAATAAGTTCCTTCCCTCTGCCACCTCCCCCAGACCATGTTCTGTCATTCACTTGCTTAAGTCCACTATGTATGTCATGCATTGTTTTCCCTTGTCTCTCTTTCCATTTATTTGAACAATGAGTATCAGATTCTCCAGGACCTCCTTCTTCATTATGTGTACCAGGAACTTCAGCTGCCTCTTCCTGATGTTAAGTATAAGCCCCCTCTTTGTTTGCATCCTCTCTAAGACCTCATCGTTGCTCACACGCTCAGTCCATGATATCCTTAGCATCCCTCTGTAGAACCACATCTTCGTTGCCTTGAGTTTCTTCATTTTTGAGGAAATCATCCAACATTCGCTGCCATAAAAAAGGACAGACGTCATGTAACAGCTCAGTATTCTTTTGTTCGTTACCAAAGAAATCCTGCTGTCTCGCAATACACTGCCCAGCTTTTGGAATGCATCCTTGGCCATCTCAATAGGTCTATGGATCTCAGTGTTGCGTTTACGATCCTCTCTCAGAACACTTCCCAGATATTTAAACTTCTGCATCTGCTTGATTCTAGTGTTCCCAATCTGCAAATCGCATTTCAGGCTCATCCTTTTACTGATGACCATGCATTCTGTTTTCTTGTAGTTTATGCTTAGTCCCATCTTCACACTCTCCATCGCTACCTTCTGTAGGAGATTTTGTAATTTCTTTTCCGTGTCTGCTATCAGTACTGTGTCATCTGCATATCTTATGTTGCTAAGATTGTGTCTGCCAATACTAAATCCCGGTAGGGTTTCCAATTCTCTCAGAATTGCCACGCTGTATAGGTTGAACAGGTCATGTGAGAAGACACATTTTTGCCTTACACCCCTTTCTATTTTTGTATATTCACTGAACTTGTTCTCTATGCACATACATGCTGTTTGCTGCCAGTATAGGTTCTTGATTATTCTGATATCTTTCCCAAATATATCAAGGTTACTGAGCAGTTCCACTAGATCCTTGTAGCATACTTTGTTGAAGACTTTTGCATAGTCTATGAAGCATAGATACACATCCTTCTGCATTTGAATCACTCTGATAAAATTCTGAGCATGAACATCGAATTCCTTGTTCCGGTATTTTTAACAAACACACACTGTTCTCATCCTATCTCTGGCCTGATTCTGCTGCGTGCTCTATTCATCAGAATATGGATGATGAGTTTTGTCCTGTGGCTCATTAGGCTTAATGCTTGGTGGAGCTTGCATTTGTTTGTGCCTGGTTTCTTAGGCATTGCTATGAAGATAGATCTGCTGAAGTCTTCCAGTATATCCCCACTGTTGTAGATTTCATTTGTTATTTCGGTGATCTTCTCTATTTCAAAGTCATCTAAGCATTTCCATTATAATTTCGTTTCACCCTGCTGCCTTATTTCTGTTCAATTTGGCCAGTGCTACTTTTACTTTGGTTTTCAGAATTCCAGGTTTGTCGATAGTTCTGTGCATTGCTGGTTGTTCTCTTTCATCGTGGAAGAGTTCTCCAATATACTCCAACATTGAAGAATTTTTTCCTTCTCTAATATGAGTATTCCATCCTTTGATTTTAAGCATCCTGTTGATGAGCATGTCTTCTGTCCTGTTAGTTGCTTTATTTGTTTGTGCATATCTCTTTTGTTGGTAGTACTCAATCTTTCTATTTCTGCACAGTTTTTGTTTAGCCACTCTTCTTTAGCTTGCCTGCATTTGGTCTTTATTTCATTGTGTAATTTTCTGTACTTCATTTCAAAAACACAGTTTTCTGTCTTCTTTCCATCATATCAAGAATCTTATCAGTTATCCATTTGTTTTTTCTTCTTTGTCTTGTCTCCTTTAGGATGACATCATTTGCTGATGACACTAAAGTGTCTCTTAGTGCATCCCATTTTGAGTTTCCACTGTGTGATTTGTATCTTCTTTTCACATTGTCCATATATTTTTCTGTTAGGTTAGAGCTGCTCAAGAGTTTGTTATTATTTCAAGTTTGGGTGCTATGTAAAGGCTTCTTCAATATTTTAAATTAGTTTTAAATTTAGTTTACATATAAAAAATGATGATCACTTCAAAATAGTCGGCACTTGGATAGGTTTTGCAGTGTATCATAAAATTTTTTCCTGAATCTTTTGTTGATGGTTATATAATCAATTTTGGTTTTAGTTTTCTTCATGTCCATAGTTGTTTTGAAAGAATTTATTTGGAACCATGTATTTGGCTATTGTACCTGGTCATTGGCTGTGTTTTTTTGGATCCATTTTTTTAAGTGGTGTTCATTGCCAGTTTCTAGTTTGAATCTTCCTGCTATATCCCTGTCCTTTCGAAAACAAATTTTTAGGTCTCCCATGATAATGATGAAATAATTTTTTGCATAGAGCCTTGGCACTGGTTTTTAAAAAGTAGAAAGATTCAATGTCCTCTTCCTTTGCGAATGCCATCAGTGTACACAAATAAATAATAGCCACATTGAAAGAACTTCCTTTCAGCTTCACTACCAGAATTCTTTCAGAAAGTTGGTGGTATCCAAGAACTATAAGATAAAAAGCTATCTAATATTAGTCCTACTTTTTGTGAATTCTTCATCATAATTTTGCATAAATAATCCTGTGTTCATTTATTGACAAAATCACAGTTGTTTTGCCATCTAGAAAAACCTAGAATGTTCATGTTAAGTCTGTTCATCTCTTGTTTATTATCATCAAACTGGCCACAGTTGTTCAATGTCTGGATGTTCTATGTCCCGAGAGTTATTTGGTGTTTGATGCAAACCTATCTCACTAAATCATTATTATCTCAAAAAAAAAAAAAAAAAAATTGTCTAAAAATCTAAAAATATTTTCTGGCTTTAACTCACCTGCAATGGGTTGATAAGTAATAGAAAATCGATCAATCAAAGATCATATATTATTCATACTTGAATCCTATATTAATATATTAAATGTAAATGAGTAGGTGTCTTATATGTTTTGAAATATAGTAAGAAACATGGAATGACAATTTAGGTGTTACAATGAAAAGAAATACTAGCAAAGAACTTAGTTACATCTAGTCATTTCAGCTGTAAAATGATGAGACCTTGCTGCCAATTTAGTACTGTACTTAAATTCATAAAGCCTAGGTACCATAAAGGAACATTCATCAGAACAATTACTATGAAAGTATTTATAGAAAAGGCATGGGGAAGCTACATTATGGCAATGAGAAAGTGACTGAAACTGATATCATAGGTCAGAACCAATAACATTGCAGATTCTTTTTTGGATTTCGTCAAAACTCTCTAAATATATAGCAGGAGCACCAGACCAGATATAGCAGCAATATTCAAAGCAAGGATGAATGGTAGACTTATAAACATGTAAGATAGATTCTGGTGAGAAAAATTGTCTACCTTGACACAGTGAACCAACTTTCCTAGTAACAGACTTAGCAAGTGATTCAATATACTCTTTGCACTGCATGTCAGTGGAAAATATTAGTCCGAGAATGTGCAAGGAGTTACTCTCCTGGAAGTCAGCAGCAGCCATGCTGATGGAAGGTAAAAAAGGTTCTCTCAAATGATTAAAAAGAGCAATTTCATTTTGGAGGCATTAAAATTAACAAGCCAATCTTTGCCCCATTTAACAACAGATTGTAGATCATTTTTTAGATTAGCTGCTATTTTTATCTTATCAAACTGAACAGACTTACTATTAAAACAAGAGTAAATAGTTGTGTCATCAGCATAGATACTGAGTCAAGAACTGATGACATCAGGAAGGTCATTTATGAAAATTAGGAACCATTTAGGTCCAAGGATAGCACCCTGGGTAACACCTGCATTAATGCAAAAAGATCTAGCTGAGTGGCCATTTCATTTCATAATTTGATAACAAAGACTGAATCAGTTCAAAAATTTGTCCATAATCTTTCAACTTGTGAAGACCAGTATGCCAATTGTCAAATATCTTTGAGATATCTAAAGCAACAGCTTGAGCTTCACTATTCTTATTTAAAGTAGGTACCTCCAAAAATTTTCCAAAAAGAGGATACAATGATGAAAAAAGGCTTCAAACTTGATAAAAACAAAATTTTATCATCAAAATGTTTATGCTATTATTAAGAGGAAAGACCAAAGTATTTTTTGATTATTTTATTAAACTTTTTAATAGACAAGCACATTTTTAATTTTGGCTAAAATTTTAGTTTTTCTTGTGTCAACAGTTGAACCAAAGATTAGTATATGGATTTTTAGCGTCTTTTTTGGCTTTAAAAACACATTGTTTTGGAAAATCTTGCAAAAATCAAATTGTCGGATTTTAATGAAATTTTCAAGACTTATTAATAAATGAATTAAATTATTTTTTAAATGGTTTTTTAGAAAGTCTTGGCAAAACTTCTTTTTTTAACATCTGTTAACCCCACTTAATTTTATGAAATTTTGAGAAATTCAAATTTCAGTCTCTTTTTATTTATATTCATTAAAACAGGACTTCTTGGAAAATTTAAATCATCAATTTGTTTTTGTCAAACAGAAACACCATTAACCAAAAATGTGCTCTGAATCATGAAATAAAAAATACAATAAAACTATGACATTATTTAATTAGAAAAGCTTTTAATTGCTTTTATAAATAAGATATATTAAGAACACTATTTCTTAAGAGAAAATTTTTTTGATAAAAAATGAATTTTTACAATTGTTTTCATTTTTTGTAAATTTTAATTAGAAAAATTTAAGTTTTAAATCTTAAAATTCTGTATTACTTTCAGCCTTTTATATTATTA